TATATATATATATATATATATATTTTTTTTTTTTTCCAAAACACAATCAAAGAAGCTCTAGAATTCACACTGGTGGCCATTTAGTTAACTGCAGAGTGAGATGATAGCAGTCAGAATGTAACAGTTAGAAAAGCAATGGATCAGTGTGGTATCCATATTGCTAACATAATGAGGTCATTAATATTACACTGTTATAATACTTTGATTACAAAGTATTTTTGAGGCTATTTTAATCAGGTCCACTGGAGGTGAGCATAAGAACCCATGTGCAGTTTTAATTAAAGTAATCAGTAATGCAAGTACAAGGCGTGCCATGACCAAATCAAACCTGACGCATGACTAAACTAAGAACAGACTCACTAAACATCAGGTCACGCAGAACAAAGCTAGACCAGGAACAATGGAAACACTGTTGCTGTCCTCCACTAGCAACCTTAATGTGTTCCAGTCAATTGCATGTCAAAGTTGCATTTTCACCATGTGATCTGAATATGTCATAACATTTCATGTCATTTTATGATTTAATAACAAATGTTGTCCTTCAATTACAATAAATTGAAAATAAATAAATAAATAAATAAATAAATAATCATTGTATATTTTTACTATAATGTTAATCTCACAAAATAGCCTTTCAAGAGTTTGCCCTTAGCTGATGATTGATTATGGAGCGTGTTTGGCATGCTGTCCCGGGAAAGAGCCCTGAGCTCAGGGCCCTCCCCCATCCCACTCATTGCAGGGCAAGAGGGGAGTCCGAGTTCAGGTAGGTCTCGAAAACTCCCCTGCTTGATAATGTTGGATTTTAATGATATAAAGTGTTTATGCTCTGAATTTAGATTTGTCAATTTACTTATATTACATGTTTTTGGTCTGTGGTAGGAAACCGGAGAGCTCAGTGTAAACCCACGCAAACATGAGAAGAACATGCAAACTCCGCACAGAAATGTCGACTTGGTTAGGTAGTATCTGAGCCGGTGACATTCTTGCCGTGTAGCCGTGGTGCTAACCATTAGGCCTCCGCGCTGCCCTGCCAAGGAAATGGGAGGAGTTGGGGTGGAAGGGGGGATTCTTTAAGATGTAGATGGCTGAAGATACTCTGGTTATTTATCGTGGTTACGGAGTCGTCTGATTGGTAAATCAGTGTTAGCTAATGTGGACCAGGTGCTGTCAATCATAAGCTCCTCTCGAAAATAGTTTTCGACTTCACTTCACTTATTAAGAGTTTCTACTCATGTTTGTGCTGTAAGTATGTTCAGGGCTCTTCGATCAACTCTAAGTGTGATTGTAATGCCGTTGATTTTTGCTGTAAATTTTTCAGATTTTTTTTTATTTTCTTTTAGTGTAGAACAGCTCTTCTGCCATCATCCAGAACATTCCACAAGCATTAAAAGAGTCACAAATCAGAACAGAGGCTCTCTTGGTAATGTGTGAACACATCATTCTGATGTACTTGACAAAAATGTCCAGTTTGTCACATCAAAATGAGCCTACAAACTTTCATATGCTACCTAGGAAGATGTGAAGGGCTTTCGAAAAGCAATATTTATTTTCTTTTAATGTGAGCCTTGATTTCACACAACATAATGTTCCATATCGAGTGTTTTTTTTTTTGTTTTGTTTTTTTACCGTGACTAATTTCGTTTTCCATTTAAAGAAAACCACTACTAAATTAGTTAAGAGTGAAACATGCAAGGCGTTTGTATTATATCATTGGATCACAATTTCTTTATATGAAACCATTTGTAAACGATGTGACACGGTGGCCCAGTGGTTAGCACTGTCGCCTCACAGCAAGAAGGTCACTGGTTCGAGTCCTCACTGGGTCAGTTGGTATTTCTGTGTGGAGTTTGTTCGCCCAGTGTTTGCATATGTTTCCACCGGATTCCCCCTCAGTCCAAAGACATGTGGTATACAATAGGTGAATTGAATAAACTAAATGTCCGTAATGTATGAGTGAGAATGGATGTTTCCCAGTACTGAGTTGCAGCTAGAAAGATATGTGGAAAATGAATGAACGAATTTGTAAACAAGGTCGCTTTAGTGTTGGTAATGTTCTTCTTCTTCGGTGTTGTCTGATCTACAGCTGAGCAGGTGTCGGGTGTCAGACATGCTGAGATTAATTAGATATTGATATGTAGCCAGTATTACAGTCCTTATCCCGCATTTCATTAACATTCAATTAAGCAGCCCTCATTTTCCTCGGGAATGAAGGTTGTGACTGCTTTTGCATTAGCTAGACATGACGTGAGTGAATCTTTTTGGCTGCTCAAATCCTCAGCAGCTTCCAAGCACAAATGATAACTGTCATTTCTGTGGCAATGGTTTTACATTAAGCACCCGCTTCTTTAAGCTCTATTTCCAAGCACCTGTCGCTAAATCAATAACTCTTTATTTATTGGCTCATTTATTACCAAGAAAGTCTTAAAATGTAGTGCCTGCTTTAGAGTCTGTTCTGATGAAGGCATGTCGCTATTCATATTGTTAATTAGCTGAACCTACAGACTCGACGATCGTGCCAGAGGTAAATGTTAACTAATTAATGGAGCTTTTTGTTCACATTAAATATGTGTGGTAGGTTAATCATTCATAGAAAGCTCATTTGAGTTCTGGGCAGGGATGAGATTGCTTGACACATGCAGTTCAGAAAATTACCATGACGTTCAGTGAAGATTGCTCTTGTATGATCTATTGTGGATGCATAATTGCAAGGTTTGGTTATTAATGATGTTATTTATGATCACGCATGG